AGAGACGATGAGCCATGGCGACGTAAGGACGATGAGATAGACCGAGACCGCAGAGATCGCGAGCCGTTTGTGCGAGCAAGGAGGCTGGATGATTACCCACGAAGCCCTCGCTATGAGGTCGATCGGGGTAGAGGCGACTCCCGCAACCGATGGAAGACAGAACAGGGCCGACGAGATGAATATAGGGACGACAGATACGAGAGGTCGGGTCGAGATGGCTACAGAGGAAGCAGATATGAGAGAGGAGATCGGGACTGGGAACGACGAGATGAGTCGCGCGGACGGTTTGAGCGCGGGGGAGATGCGAGAGAGCAGCGCGATGAGTTGCGGGGATGGTACAACCGAGGGGACCGACGCGATGAGTCACGAGGACGATATAACTCGGGGGACCGCCGGGATGATTCGCGAGGGCGGAATGACCAACGAGGGTTTGGAGGAGACCGGCGCAACGATCCGCGCGGTCGGAATGAGAGAGGGGGATATGGCGCCTTATCAGAACCATATCCCAAGTCTCCTGACCCCAAGGCGGTCAGGAGTTCGATCTCTAGAGGCGCAGATGACAGGGCATCCACTCCGAGGAACTCATGCGTCTACTGTAGAGGAGRARATCATATCAAGAGGGATTGCCCGGACCTTAAACGGGCAATAGAAGAGGGACTTGTCGTGCTTGACGACCGCAAGTACGTCAAGTGGGCAGATGATCTCGGAGATGTATCGATGTTCCCTTCGATGAAGGAGAATGTCGAAGCAAGGAGAATAAARACGAGTAAAGGAATGGAGCCGGTCAGGAGCCAGAGCATCAAGATAACCTTTAAGGGGGACATGGCGACCACACCCATAAGGGTGGCAGCCACCAAGTCGGCGAGAGGGTCTACATCGAAGAAAACTGACACGGATTACGTGATGGCGGAGAAGGACGGGCAGCGGGTCGATGGAGAGGAGGTTATCCTTTCGCCGCGAAAGCGGGAAGTGAAGAAGTTTCTTATGAAGAGCTCGCTGGACGAGATTGACACGGTCGAGCCATTGAGGCGGGCCCTTCGGCAACCCATGCAGTGCTCTATTCTGGAGTACCTGGCGGCATCGAAGCCGGCTCGTGATGAGTTACAAATGATCACGCGAAAGACTCGCATACCTCTATCGGAGGAGGGTTACGCCCCTAAGGCGGACAGTAACAGTAACTGGGGTGACTGCCAGAGCGGATCGCATGGCGACAGTCCTTCTGGATGGAATGGAAGGTGTGCCTCCAGACAAGTTT